AAAGAGTGTTTCGGGATAGAGAATCGAAACCAAATTGCCTTACTCTAACTCACCATTGGCATGGAAGAGAAAGAGCGGTCTCATGCAATGGTTGTAGAGTACGGCTTATGATTGGTTAAGAGGTAGGATGATGACCAGTAAAAAGTGTCTTCCATTGTTGACGTCCCGGGTTTGGCACCTGGAATAAAGAGAGCTCTAGGTTTTTTGATTGGTCAGACCTAGCCGGCGGAATAAGCAGCCATCCTCATCGCAAACTTCTCCAACTTTAAAGTTTCTTGCACTACAAAAAAAAAGGTCATTTCCAATGGGCAAATCCGTTGAAAATGGCCAAATTTACATTGGAAATTAATGTTTCCAACGGATAAATCCGTTGCAATTTCGTCGTTGAAAATCGGTGGTCGTTGGACAACCGTTGGAATTTTCCATGGAATTTCAACGAATTTTTTCCGTTGGAAAATTTCCAACGAATTTCCAATCGCAATTCCAACGGAATTTCCAACCGAAATCCGTTGGAATCTTTCAAAGAAAAATTCAAAACATATTCCCGATACCGATTCCGATCCAGATCCCGACTCTGATCCCGATCCCGATCCCGACTCTATATCGGATCCGAAACTCTGAAATTTAATCCCCGAACTCACTTTCCAATAAGTCACTCATCCTCTCACTATTCCACCTCAATCCTCCACAACCCTAGAGTTCCAATTAGCAATCATCCAACTGCTTCAAGTTAAACTTCTAATATCATATAACATTAATATATATACATACATAAATGTTTATACATATAAATATTTATACGTATATATATATATTTATAATACAGATACATAATATATACATATTGATATATATATATATATATATATTCGTATATATATGTGTATGTATATATATACATTATATTTTTACATATAAAAATATATATACACAAAATATACCTATATCTATATATATATGTATACGTATAAATATATAAAAGAAATTGGTACATTTATGTTATTTAGATTAAGTTAATTATATATAAGTTTTCATGTAATTTAATAACTATTTAGAAAAAAAACTGTTTTGAAAATGGAAGGATAAATTAATAATTATTTTTATTTTGTTAAGAATAAGATATGGTAACTTTTTATCAAGATTTTTTTAAATAATTGATAACTATGTTCATAACAAAAACTTATTATTAGTAAATATCCGTAAATTTCTATTTATCAATATAATTTAATTTTATGATGAATATAAAGGAAAACAGGCTTTATGCTGCTGTGATTTTAAATTATTATTTTATACAGTATATTTATATTAAAGGGTTCAAATTTTAAATTGTAGTAATCTATATATTAATTTTGTTTATTGAATTATTTAACTAAGATTTGGATTCATATTTTGGATTTTTGTACATGTAAATATAATTAAAATTATATGATCCATTTATTTAAAATTTTCTTACGAACAAATGAAGTGATATATTATGGTAATTAACAATTAAATTGTGAGATAAGAAAAGGATTTCGTCGTGAAACCTTATCTCAACTGCCAGAGGTCCATTCCTTCCTGTCCTGTTGCGACCACCAAAACCTCTTTTACACCGTACCTTTGTCTCCAGAGGGTATTTACGTCATTTCACTATTCCCCGCACACATCACAGTTTCACCCCCAAAAAAATGCTAAAATAAAATATTAAATCACTTTCTCTCTTCTTCAACCTGTGGCCAAACGAAGCAGAGCGAAAAAGCAAGCTCCTTTTTTTTTTCTAGAGAGAGAAACAGTCGTGGAGAGGCAGACGGAGGAGCCGAGTTCACGAGCTTTTGATTTCTCTTCTTAGAACCATAAAAAAAGAAGAAGGGGAAGGGAACAAAGGAAGAAGAACCTCAAGAACCCCACTGTTGTTAGGTTACCGAATTCACGGGCCACAAACAAAAAAAAACTGTCCTTTCCTTTTTTTTCCTTCTTCTCCCCTTCTCTTTGTTGTGCTTTGCAGTCTCTTTCTCACACCCACCTACCTCATCATCATCCTAAGCACCACCATCTTGCCCTCTCCTTCCTTCTTCTTCTCCCAATCTCTACGGTCCAAATTTCACCACGTTATTGCCGTCATCTGGAAACTTTCCAGCTCAGTCTTACATTTTTTTTCGCTTCACGGCAACACACAGCGATGTCGTGGTCGCAGTAATGTTGGGTCTCTGTTAGGTAGCCGAATCGTTTTGTGTGTAATGATGCTCTGATCTCTTCTGAAAACGAGCTGAAGCCGCGCAGAGGGAGAGAGAGAGAGCGAGAGTGAGAGGGTGGAGAAATGGATCGTCAAGCGGCGGCTGTGGGGCAGGGGATGGACATGCCGATCATGCACGACAGCGACCGATACGAGCTCGTGAAGGATATCGGGTCGGGTAATTTCGGTGTGGCCCGGTTGATGAGGGACAAGCAGACCAATGAGCTTGTTGCTGTCAAATATATCGAGAGAGGTGAGAAGGTCAGTGTTTTTCTCTTAACAGATTCTTGATCTTGAATCCAATTTCATGTTCACTTGTTGACCGACAAAAGACTTGGAATTGAAAAGTTCTGCTTTTTAGTTCCTACTCGCTGCTAGTGCTCCGTTTGTTCAACGGTGTTGTGATCTTAATGCGGTTTGCTTGAACCATCACTTCATCCGGGTCTTGTTTTTTGTTAACCCTTTTTCTTGAAATCGAAAGATTTGGTTCGAGTGATGATAAAGTCTGTCTTCATGTCTCATTATGGTAGTTTTTGTGGTTATGTCTCGAGAGTCATAATGGGTTCATAGATCAGATTCTTAATCCTTGTCTTGAATTCACTCTGATAGACTTGAGTATTTCAATTGGTATGTTGCCTCTTGGATACTGAGGAATTCTAATGAACATCTTTGCTTTTGTGAGAGTTTTACACACTTTTTTCCCCTTGTTGATAACAGATTGATGAGAATGTTAAAAGGGAGATAATCAACCACAGGTCATTAAGACACCCCAATATCGTAAGATTCAAAGAGGTTTGTCCAAATCTTTAAGCTTTTTGCATTCACTTCACACCAAGAAATGAGAAACTCGTCTTGTAGATCTCATTTACTGAGTGGCTACAGGTTATATTGACACCAACCCATCTGGCTATTGTTATGGAATATGCATCTGGTGGAGAATTGTTTGAGCGAATTTGCAATGCAGGCCGATTCAGTGAAGACGAGGTCGTTATTGAAAAAAAATCCGATTATTTCGTTCTTGGTCAATCTATAACTCAAGAAGAGAAGTTCATCTTTTTCCTGTAGGCAAGGTTTTTCTTCCAGCAACTCATTTCAGGAGTTAGCTACTGCCATGCTATGGTAAGTGAAGTTTTCTGCTGTGTGAACTTTCTTTTGTGAGTACTGAATTCATGGTTAGTTTTGTATGTTGTTTCGCCTTTAAAGCAAGTCTGTCACCGGGATTTGAAGTTGGAGAATACGTTGTTGGATGGCAGCCCGGCACCTCGCCTAAAGATATGCGATTTCGGGTATTCCAAGGTATATATATATATATATATATCTTTTTCCCGAAAGTTACTCCTCTGTATCGATCTCTCTCTTTTCCCCGGATGTATGTGATATTGTACTTTCCTTCCCTCTCAACGATTACCGTTTTAATTTGCTATATTTTGCTGTTTTCAGTCCTCAGTGTTGCACTCACAGCCAAAATCGACGGTTGGAACCCCCGCTTATATTGCTCCGGAGGTTTTACTAAAGAAAGAATATGATGGGAAGGTAATATATCACAATGTTCCGAAACAGCATTTGTATACATTTCTCCATTGATCCCTGGATGCAGGACTTGGGTACGAGAATCTTTCTTTTTTTGTTCCATAGAGTAATGTTTTTTTTTCGTGATAAGACCGATACATTGGCATGAAGTGTGTTTTTTTCCTGCAACGTTGTTGCCAAGTATCCCGACTCGGTAATTTTTGGTGGATGCCCCGAGAGAATAATATCCTTTGAAGCTGATTTCGAGAGTAATCAATGGCCTTCTGCCCATTTGTTGCTGTTCGAATTGATTCATATAGTCACTCACCCGGTCTGTTGATGAAAATACCGTCTTTCAGATAGCAGATGTTTGGTCTTGCGGGGTAACTTTATATGTTATGCTGGTTGGAGCTTATCCTTTCGAAGATCCCGAGGAACCTAAAAACTTCAGGAAGACAATACAAGTGAGTTTCCCTCACATTTTCTCGCAATATTCAATGGTTGGACTAAACTCTGGAACAATGTTTTTGCAGCGAATCCTGAATGTTAGGTACTCGATTCCCGATTACGTTCACATATCTCCCGATTGTCGCCACTTGATATCCCGAATATTCGTGGCTGATCCCGCCAAGGTATAAATCTTTGGAGCACTACTTTTTGGTTATTATCACACATAGCGTTCTCTTCTTCTTGTTATTCCTCTTGTTCCCACCCCGGACCTAAAGCCGCGATCTTTTACCGAACCCGCATTTGAAAGATTCGTCCAGGGTATATCCGGGTTCTTTTTAATACAGTTGGAAATTCACGTTAATGGCTTGAACTTATCGTCACGAAATCAGTTTCTTGATTTTACCGATCTTTGAGCTGGAACTGATTCGGCCCTCTCTGCAGAGGATAACCATTCCGGAGATAAGGAACCACGAATGGTTTCTGAAGAATCTACCAGCAGATCTGATGGATGACAACACGATGAACAACCAGTTTGATGAAGCGGATCAACCGAGGCAAAGCATCGACGAGATCATGCAGATCATCGCCGAGGCCACAGTCCCTGCAGCCGGGACTCAGTGTCTGAACCAATACCTAACAGGTGAAAAAACAAACCCTTTCTTTTCATCAACCCTTGGATCTGTTATGATTATACAACAGGTTTTGTTATGTTCAAGTGGAAATTCAGAGCTCCCATTCCGAGATTTATACGAACTTTGCTATCTGTTTCGACCTTAGAAAATGGAAGCTTGGACATTGACGACGAAATGGAAGAAGATCTTGAGAGTGATCCCGACGATCTTGACATCGACAGCAGCGGAGAGATAGTTTACGCCATGTGATCATATGATGGAGGAGGAAGAAGAATAAGAATAAGGCTTTGACTCTTTACCGTTTTTATCCTTTTTTTTTTTAAAATCTCGTTACAGTTAAATCTCCTCTCTCTTGCTATGCTTTGAAACACACTGACAAGTTCCAATGTGTTACAAAGACAAAACAAGAAGTGAGTTGACTATGTCAAGCTCAACATTCTTGTTCGGAGTTTCTCGGTCGGTACGGACGTTCATGTTCGTACCTCCGGACAATTTCAACATTCTTTGATTCTCTTTTCCAAGTCCTTACCATCTTTCCAAAGTAGTTTCGGTTTTGTATAACCGGAGCCCAGAATCCAATACATATAGTGAAAGAAATCCAGTCTTGTTTTCCACCTAAAACCCGCAAATTTCAACTGTTTCTATATCGACAATTGTTCATACAAAAAGCACAGAATACGCACTCTTCTTCGTCGTCTTCAACCTCGACCTCGATCTCGTCTCTCACGACCCGAAACTGTTGAGAGAGTCGAGGGCGTTGGAGAAGAGGTTAAAGAGAGAGTACTGCCTCAGGTTGTTAACCTCGTACCAAGAATTCAGGGACTCGAGGTTCTTGTCAGTGCCCGAAAACGTTAACTGAATACCGATATCGCAGTTAACTCGACCTCCGTTTCCCTTGCATTTCGAGGACGGAACAGCGCAGTCTGTTCCGTTCAGACAAACAGAAGATCCAGATTTGCAAGAATCGCACCCGAAGCTCTTCCAGAACAGATTCTGCAGCGTTCCCTTCTGAAACTCCATCACCTGCAAGTTTCAGATTTCCATGTCAAGTCAGTAACCACTGGAGTCTGTGTGTGTATACATTCGATATAAGCGTGTATATATATGTACGTATATGTGTGTGAGAGTTTGAAGGGTTATTATTACAAGAGTGAAACTGGTGATTGTGTTGCTTCCATCGGCGATTTTCGCCGGGAACGATCTCGCTGCGTATTTCGAACCTGCAAACGCTACCATGTGTCCACCGGCTTCGCTCTGTAAAAAGATCAAACGAGACGATTAACCTAAAAAACCAGAAGCTGCATTACCCGTTTTCCGACCCTTTTCTTGATCCTAACCTCATCTGAAATCAAATTACAGACTCAACTTCTTGCCCATAATCTCGCGGCAAATGCAGATTTCAGAAGTTCATCCTCGAGGGCGTAGAAAACTTACAGGGCTAAACTGAGTGGTGTCGATGGAGAGGAGGGAAATCTCGTCGACCTTAGGCCTAAACAAGGCGAGCTTCGCGTTTTTGGAGGCTAGCCCGAGCCGGGAATCGCACGGAGAAAGCTGGATTTTGTTGTTGAAGAAAGCTTCTTTGCTCGAAATCACGACCCCGAAGGTGAAACCGTCGCCTTTGCTTATCTGGACATCCGAACAAGGGCTGAAAACTCCGTTCGTGTCCACTGCTCGCACGAAATCGTTCGTTTTCATCGCCAAAATCATCGTCGCCATCGTTACAACCTTCACGAGATCGGTAGAGAGGGTTCTTGTCCTCATTCTCATCTCGTTCCTTCGTGACCCTTTGGTGATGAGCCGCGATGGTCACGGTTACTTTCTCGTCAAGAAACCTTCTGAACATGGATTTGGCAAAGTGAGAAACATTTGCAAGAAGATGATTAAGGAGCTCGTATACGAAAATCTAGACGAAATAAACATGGAAAACGTACCTTGAAATCTCAAATATGATGAAAAAGATTCGATTTTTAATGTGAATTTGAGGATCAAAATAAGAAAACGTATGACGGGTTTAAAAGAGAAATTGTCTTTGTTGGATTTCTTCAAAGGAAAACTAAGGAAAGAGGCTTCGGGACGCGCCAAACGATTATGTCGGCGCACAAATTGGATCCCTGTCTCCCAAATTAGACGAGATTGAAGCATTGTTTTCAACCATATAGGTACTTAACATTTTTTAATTTATTTTTAAAAATATTACAATTTTCGAATTCATACAAAAATCTATTCTGTTTGAGTTCGACAATATTTTTTAAATCACTTAAATTTGTAAATTTAAATGTTAAATTATGTTTAAAAAAAATAAGATATCAAAATAGAGAAAATAATTAGATACTTGAATAAACGTTAAATCTAAGTAAAGAGTTCATTCGTAGACTCAACATATCGACATTGATTTCATTTAAAATGATTTTTAATAACATTATAGCGTTTCAAGTGGCCAATTTCCACCCATCTTTGTTAATTTCGAAACGTTCGGAAATAAAATAAAGACACACACTTGTTTTGTTCTAGTTTTCATTCAAATAAAATTTATTTTGATTTTAGATTTTTTGGGTTTTCTATATATAGTTTAGATTTTCCAATAAATTTGATTTAAAACAAATAAAAAATATAAAATCAAAACAAAATTTTGTTAGACTGAAAACTTACAAAACCAATGTTTTCGATTTTATTTCTGAACGCTTTGATATGATGATATATGTATGGAGTACATTCAAATGGAATTTGGCAACTTGGAACACTAGAACGTTATTTTAAATTTGAAATCAATCGTACCAAAAAAAAAAAATTGAGATCAACGCCAACATGTCGAGTCAACGTGTATATATATATATATATATGCATATAAATGTATGAATATATGTGTGTATATATATATATATATTATTAATGACGTGTTAATTTTAAATATGCTGAGGTGGCGTATATGTGTCCTCGTGGTAACACAATGATGCTGTGTGGACTGTGGATGTGTAAAAGCCACATCAGCATCACAAGATAATATCTTCCTTTGTCGATTGATTTGGGAAAAGATATTATCAAATTAAAAATTTATATATTGCTTATTATTTAAAATCGATGATTTCGTATGAAAATTTTCTGATTTCCATCGAATTTATTTGTAAAATTATAACTAAATCTATAAAATTATCATTGTACTTAAAACTTACACGATTATAATTGAACAACCATTCATGAACCGATTCGTGGAAACCTCACAAAGGTCGGCCACAAAAAAACATCAAATAATATCAATATCAATATCAAAAGGGCAAAAATATCTTTGTATCTATAAATTTATAAAAATATCCATAATATTTATTTAAAATTACGAAATCTGGGTTTCGAATATCTCAAATCCATAATATAGAATCACATAGTTCTAACTCTAAATGAAGTATTCGGATACGAATTTGGATATCCGATTTATATTGTCCCCTACTATGGTACGATATTATATCGTCTATATTTATTTATATTTGAATTTTACAAATAAAAATTATAAAACGTGTGAATGGGTGGAATATCCTCTGTAAATATTATTCTCCAATCATTCAAATGTCTGGTCCCAAACTCCTCCAAACACGCAATGCCCTATCGTTTCCTTTGAATCTTCTATTTGAATTCGTTTTCCTAATCTCTCTCTCTCTCTCTCTCTCTCTCTCCTCTTACATTCTGGAAGATATTGGCAGAAAAAAACAAGATTTACCGTTTACGTACGCAGCTACGATAAAGTTCCAGTCTTTGCCCAAGAAACGCTAAACCCGTCAAACCTTACCAATGGTTTTGTGAGGAAAAGACCGGAACAATACTCGTGTCTCTCTCTCTCTCTTTCTATATAGACCCGCCAATCGTATTATTCTGCCATTTGCCCCTAACAAGAGAGAGAGAGAGAGGAATGGCAGAAGTGATGGAGGCGTGGGTGGGAGAGCTGTCAAAGCTGGGAGAGAGGATGAAACCCTGCAAGAGGCTGTTGATGCAGAAGGCAAAGAAGGTGTCCAAACAACAACAACAACAACAACCAGAAGAAGCTGACAAGAGAGAGAAACAGGAAGCTACAACCATGTCTGAAACCACTGTTTGTCTCCTCATGGACCGTTTTGTGCCTTGGTGATCATCCTCCCCAACAACAAGCTTCCCTCTTTTTTCCTTCTCAATTATATACGTCTATATATATATGTAGGTACATATGTATATGATTTAATATTCCCAAATGATCAGTTGTCAGCAAATCTAAGAACCTTTCAAACTTTTTAGCAAGCTAGCTGCTGTATAATCCGTACCCTCCACGGGTTCTTTTGAACTCTGTTGCAGTTACATTCATGGTATACATGCATTTGTGTACATCATGGATATATATCCCAAAATTCCTGAATTAAAAAAAAACGTGTATAAACAAGAGATTGATTAAGTGTACTTAATGTGTCACAGATTTGAGTTGAGGGGTTTCAAACTGAACCCACATGCTTTCCTTCTACTTGTCCAAACAATCACATGCAATGAATGAATGAATCTTCTTCCACCCTAAAACACATGAACTCTATACCTTTAGTAGTATACACTTATACTGCATATTTCCATTACAGAGGCTTCGGTTTCTTTTCTCCGGTTGCCTCAAAACACAAAGAATCTTGATGAAGGGATGATTCAAGACGACAAGTTGGCCTCGAGGCTGGCTGTTGAAATCTCTTGAAACATGGACGGCTGTGTTAGAGTCCCACATTGACCACATGTGGGAAAAATTGAGTCTTTCTGAGGACAGAGACACCCTCCCCAACAAGCCAACTTTTGAGATGAATTCTACCCATTGATCTTAGAACGGACTTAATTGGGTCCGTTAGGGGCATCTCATCCGCAGTTTCACTCTCTAGAGTCACCCGGGAGACAAACAGCTTGGACCGGTGGCTTGGTCCGTGCCCGGGAAACGAGCTCAGGAGGGGAATCATGGTGTCTTTTGAATTGGAACGCAGATGTTGTGGAAAGCACGTTGAGCCATAGAAGGGTTGTTCCTGCTGCTCTGGTTACGGCTGATCAATGGAATTAAAAGTCTTGGAACCACTCGCTGCAATCTTCTGTTCTAGGAGGTCGAATCGCCATGTTTCAAAGAGTTTTTTTCCCCCTTTTCTCAGCCATCATCACTGTCTTCTATGTACTGGTCATAGCCTGTAAGTGAGAGACAGAATATATCACCATATGTCTGAATCTTCGAACGCTTACAGCAACTTGCAGTTCTTAGGTTTAACCAGATGGGTTGATTCCTGTATGTCTGGGTTCAAATTCATCTCCATTTGATCGTTTCTGTCACGACCCCTTTTGGGACTTGATCATGGAACAGAACAGGTAAGATCTTTCTCAAAACTGCAGCCATATGCTTTTGCCCTGTTTCCAAGTTCAGCACAAAACCCTAAATCCCAGAAACAAAACCCAATCGGTATCCAGAACGATTAACGAGGAGGAATCGAGAATTACCACGACAAATCCCACAATCCTCCGAAGCGAAATGGGCAGTCACTAATCTCGTGAGCCCTGAATCTGAACCTTCGTCTTAATCAAAACGAAAAACCGTGCCTTTCAAAAGGGGAGGAAAAAGGTCGAATTTTTTCATATGAACAGTGGATTTTCTTAATACGGAATCACTTTTTTTTTTCTTTCATTTAAATCTTTGATTTTTTTTTCCTATAAAAAGGGAAGACATCTCTAACACTTTGGCTCTTTTTTTCTATAAATCGGATTAATTTAGCATTTTAAAAAAATTGTTAGTTTAAGAAATATTGCTCAAAGATTAATAAAAACTGGAGGATAAATCTGTCAAAATACATGTTAAAATTCCTAACAATTTATATATATATATATATTAAAGGGAACTAATTTAAAAAAATCTAAACAATAGAATAGTTTAATGTATCAAAATTTTAAAATACCCGGATCCTTCTACCATATACATGGACTAGGAATTGGATGTATACTGATTGCTTGCCACGTGTTACGGATGTGGGACCAACCCTTTAATCGTAATTAAATCGGAGAATCCTTGACCCTATGAATTATGATGATGCATCTTAAAAACAACCCAAACGATAAACGAAGAGGCAAAATTGACCGATCAAAATTCCAAATTCTTTTTTATTCTTATCTTTATAAATTATATTAAAATTATCCAAATTTTTTAACAAAAAAAATTCCAAATCCAACAGCACAACTCGAAAATGGATATAGAAAAAAAAAATTATTACACAACATGATAAACACGAACATGTTGGTTCGAGTTTTGTTACAAATTTCACCGTAAAAAAGGGGGAAAAAATCAAAATCAATAACGTGACAGCCATCAAACGCACTCACCATCGAATCTGCTGACTTGGCATCACCCTATTCGTTGACTCACTCAACCGATTCCTCGCGGCTACGATCATACGTGGCAACCCTCACGCTCGTCATCTCAGTGCTCGTCCACTACTTCAACAACAGCGCGTGATCGTTCACGCGCCGCCGAAAACGAAATCTACACATTCCCTTTTTCACATGGTGGAGACGATGACGTCATATCTGGCGACGGTTCCATCTCATGCCACGTCGGTGTCCGCTCCGACACCCTCCACACCTTCACCGACTTATCCACGCTTCCACTGTAGCCTCTCTTCCCCCGCCGTGGCCGTACCTGCCCCGCCGCGTCGGTTGCGGCGGTTGAAGCTCCTGTCCTCATCGATGGCGAGACACTTGACGGGACCCATGTGCCCTGTCAGCACGGACAGACACACGTGGGCCCCATCCGGGTTGCGCCTCCAGACACATATGTTCTTGTCGGCCGAGCCGCTCAGCACGAGCTTCCCCGCCGCGGCGAGGCACAGGACCGCCGATTTATGCCCACGGAGCGTGCCTCCGTGCGAGAGGCCTCGCTTCTCGCGTTGCCAGAAGTTTACCAACCCGAAACCTTCTGGCCCGCCACAATATATAACGGCGGACGTTAAGTTGACGGCTAACGCCGTAACGGCGTTTTCTTGCTTCAGCAAAACCTGAGCCAGTAAATGCTTCGTCCCTTTGCCTTGAATCTCACGTTTCCACGCCTTGGCCGTCCCGTCCGCCGATCCCGTGAAGACCAAGTCGTCGAACCCTACCACGACCGAGTTTATCGCGTCATCGTGGGCACGGATCGATTCCAAGCACTTGGAGTCCGAGATTCTCCACACTTTCACGGTCGTGTCCCAAGAACTGGAGTACAATAACCCGACTTCTTCGTTCAGGCTTAGACACGAAACCGCGTCGAAATGCTTCACCTTCACGACATTCCTGTTCCGACGAGCCTCGATGTAATGCTTGGGGTTCATGGAACTCTTCACCATGTCCTCCCCTACACGCCTGTGTCGGCCAGGGTTTCTCTTCGAAACCTTCCAAACCCGGATTTTACCGTCTTGATGACCAGTAAAAACCCGATCTCCGAATATCACAATGGCCTTCACGAGGCCACTGTTGGATTTAAACCCGGTATAGTCCTTCAAATTCTTCCAAACCCTAATGTTTTTCGAGTCCGAGCCTGTGTAGAGAAGATCTCCTGCGGCAGCGAGTGAGTATATATGCCCTTCTTCCCGTACGATGGACCCTATGAGACCGTTGGTTTCAAAGACATCGTCTAAGAAGCCTCGGCTCGAAGGGGTCGCGAACGGTGACCGACCCGTCGCCCACGGCGACATTACGCACGGAGAACCCTCGCCGCTTGTCGGGGCGCTGCTCATTGTGGACGCCGACGCGTTGCTGTAACGTTGCTGATGATGAACGTTAACGTTAACACTGTTATTGTTGACGTCGAGGGAGGAATCTTCTTCGCCAGAGGAGAATATTCCGTGATCGGCCTTCAAGAGGTCGCCGAATTTAGGGCGTGGCTTGTTATGGCCGCAGCCGAGGCTGTGGCTTTGGCTGTGGTGGTGGTTGGAAGGTGTGTTTTTGAGATCGACGACCATCATGGTTCCTCCCGTTTTGTTTATCATTTGTTCAAGAATCTTGATGCCAAAAGTCAAATAATTATTTTAAAAAATGGCTATAATAATGACTCGTTTTTTGTTGGATGTGTTGTTTTTTTTAAACTATGACCAAGAAAAAGCCGAGGGAGAATGTTTTTGCGTGGGAGAAGGGAGATTTTCGTGCAGAGTTTCAAGGGATATTGGAGGGTGTGGAGAGAATGATACGATCATATATATAAATATAGACAATGTATATATATATATATATATATATATATGTATATGTGTGTATGTGCATGTCCGTTGAAGATGTTATTTATTTTTAGTTCAATTGGTGGACACGTGGCGGTGACTAAGGCAGATACTGTGATTTCATCACAGAAACAATATTATAATATAAACCAAAGTTTGATCACAGTACACGTGGCTGTTACGTTTCACGCGATATTTTCTTTTATACGACATTGTCAAAATTCAACAGTGTTCGTTATTATTAGATAATTACCCTTTTATCCCGAAGTAAAAACTAAAGTTTCAAAAGTTAAAGATAGTATTACTGCTGATGCATTTAAACTTGTACTTTGATTTTGGATTTTTAATTAATTTTAGAATAAACGATTAATTTTAAATAGATTAATTACTGCTATAAAATTATAGAAATGGAATCGTTAAGAGAATTCAACTCCAAGAATATAGAATTTAGCCAAAATTAGGTACAAAAGTTTTTTTTTTTTGTTTCCCCGATTTTGAGAGAAGAGATAGTCTCCACGTGGGTCACTGTGTGTGTATGTTGTTTGTTTTAATAACATATTTTTAAAGGGTTTTTCTAGAATGCCTAATAATAATTTGCAGTAATTAAATTCGATTAGATACAAAGGCGGACGTTTATTATACTCACTCGAATTAAGTGCCGCATATAATTAAATTGGTAAATTTAGTTTGTTTAATTTTATAAATTGTACTAATTAATTTATGTAAGTTTTTCTATAAACCAAATCCAGGTATCTTTACAGCTTTCTATCTCAATAATTCTTTTTTTTTTTTGGTAAAATGTCTCAATAATTCTTGATATGTGTTATCCATAGTTAAACACAGCATGAAAGAATATGAATACCTCATGGCCCTAGATCTTTTATCAAAGAGTTTTCCACAAATTTATATATTTCCATACAATATTGGGCGATTAGATGACGCATGCATATTTCTTCAATGTATTCGATGAATTGTAGTTATTGAATGCCACGTTTTCGTCATCTTTTATTTAGGGTGTTAAAAAAACATTTTCTTGCATGCAATATATGTATGTGAATGTGTGTGCGTATATATATAAAAACAGGAATATTAGGTGCGGCACCAAAGATACTTTGCTTCGTCGATATAATTGAAGTTCTATTGAAAACTTTGGAATAATAACATGATTAGATCTATTTTTCGTACGTATATATCAGAAAAAATGTCTATTAAAAAGATTATAATAGATCATAAAAAATAAAAAAGATTCTTATTATTAAAAGTTGAATCTTTTCAAACTATTTTTAGATCGCAATTCTTAGAAAATGTGAAATAAATTAATTAAATTTTATTATATCTCAAATTTATACATTTCGAATATATATATATATATTTATGCGTTTCTCATTTTTGAAGATGCCTTACGAATATTTGGCAAATTAGGCAGCAACTTCTTTCTATAAACATGAGATTTATTGAATATTCGGCCCACTTAATGATGCAATTAATTGTACTATCTCCTCTCCATGATTTTAGTTACAAAAGCAAAGGTGTTTTAGACAAAAATAGGCCACTTGTCACGATAATTACAATATTTACAAAGGACATGTCTCACTTACCCGACAAGCTGATATGGTCGATGGACTTGGACTGTTGTGGTTGATGATTATTACCGTTGGAATCATACTATTGGGATATATTAACTACAGTCAATTGCAACTGAAAAACGTGTTTATGATATATGGATATATCATGGTGTCATATATACCTAGTGGTTTGTCACAGTTGGCACGTTAAATTCTTATGAAATTGTAAGAGATAACCAGATTTAGCGGTTGATAGTTTTGATTTAAAAGGGTAAAATCTAATTAGAAATATATGAAATGAGCCAACTAGAATCTGTGGATTATGTCGAGTGACGTAGAATCATACGATATCGATCATATTGTTGTGTTATCAAGAATTTCATATAAAATTTTTAAAAAATAACCGAAAGAGACCATATATATATGAATCTAATCGGATTAACGTTTACAGATATCCACGACCATTAAATGAAATATAGATATTAGTTCTTTCTGCTTCTACGTATATTGTTAATACTATATCATGCAGCTGGTAGTCATACACGCAACATACACTTTTAAAAAAATCTTATATCCTACGCGATGAATGCATGCATGCATGTGTAATGTACTACAAATTATAATGTCTGACTCGTATTAAAAGCTGTATGCAACGACGTATAAAGCATAGTATATAATTAAGATTTAAATACAAAAAGATTTCAAGTATGGATATTATATTTTCTCTTAAAGGAGTTGCAACCTGTTGGAGCATGGGAGCTGCCAAGCGTCGCCGACCCACGTCATCATAACAAAATCTCAGACGGTTCTTAGGTAACGCGACGTCATGCTGACAGCTTTGGACTTTATTTTCTAAAAATAAAATCCCTAACTAAGCGTTAGTGGAATTTGTGGAAGATTCCAGAAACGGTATTATGCCACGAGGCGAGATGGGTTGTCGATTTGAGGACTTGTGGGGAAGACCACGAAACCCTAGCCAGCTGGACCATTTCACCAAAAACATTGACAAGAGTGTTGCTTGTGATGATGTATATATACCGACATTCATAAGAATTTATGAATATATACATACATGTGCACGATACACGTATATATGTATCATGTATGTATTCGTGCCCCATCACATGAATTTGCAGTCCCATGAGCAAGCATTATAATCTCAAATATCGGAGTTTAGAATTGAGAAGCGATTAGTTACCCAAAAAAAAATTTGAGAAGCGATTGATCTTTTTTTTTTTTTAATTTAATAGTAGTATCCGACTCCGTTTCTTCATGGCACATAAAAGTATCCGTTTCTACTTTTGACTATACAAACCGAATATAATGACGATGGATAACATATAATTATATCAAACCTAACAGATTGAATATATATATATTTTTTTAAAATTAAACTAAATCAAAATCTAAATCGAATTTAAAAACAATTAAAATACCGAATCGAAATGAGTATCTTCTTCTTTTTTTTAACATTTTCAAGCCGAATTCGAATAGACTAGATATCAAATCGAATTCATAAAAATCAAACCATATAATTTTTCTGAAATCGAAATGTTAAACATAAAAATAATTAAATCAAAATATCCTCATATACCATCCCATCACTAATTGTAACTTTTAATTAAAATCATTAATGAAACTCGATCCATGCTCTAAATTATATAATATATGTTTTAAAATATGAAACTGAAAAAAATCGCATCATATGAAAGGAGACGCTCACAAGATATTTAGATGGCCCGGCGAGTGAGGAAAGCTTATCCATTTTTCTTACTAAAATTAAATGTCAACATACATGACGTGTGACACAACAAAGTTATTAGATCTTATCATAACCACTTAACTTCAAACTCTTACACGTAGTTTTAATACTTCAAATCAGTTATTATAAAGTTTTTTTTTTTTTTGCATCGGAATGAACCACCACAACTTTTCGGGTGGAGAGTAAATCCACCGATCTTACGCAATAACCTACAAATCACGTGAAACGGGTAAACCAGTCGAAAATGATAAACTCAAGAGAAATTCATACTCTGGAGTTGCAATGTTTAAATGCATAAACTCAAGTCCTAAGCTTTTAGAATTAGAAATATCAAGGAATTTTTTTTCCCTGAACAAACATGTTAAAACAATTAAAATGTATTCCGTGAAAAAAAAAGCCACGGAATAATATTTAAAATTAAGTTGTAAATAGAAAACGATGAAAAAGTGATTACAAAGTAATGAAAAAAATGGGATACATGTTTTCTCACTTATTCATTATTAATTTATACTGTTTTGAAAACAAAAACATTTAGTTACTATTTTGCAACAAAAATTATTTTTATTTTTTGATGAACTTTTTCTCTCTCACAATTATCCCTTTTTAACCCTGAAAAATTAAATTCTTAAATGTTATTTTTCAATAATTTATGAAAATATCATCAAAGTTTTAAATTATAAAATTTTATTTTTAGAGTGTGAATAAATTATCTTAAAATTTTAAACACTAAACTTTAAATGCTCAAAGAAAAAATCTATGTAAAAGTATGATATTTTGCATTAAAATTTTACTATATTTGATTGAATTTTTTAGTAAATTATGAATTTCAATAATTTTTTTAGAAAACGTAGTATTTGATTTATTTAAATAAAACTAAAAGTGGATAGCTTTAAAGTAAATGGAATCATATTTATCGCAATATCGGAATGCTATAATCATTTTGCTTATCTTGTCCCGTGCGTGTTTCACAGACAAATGCACTAGATTTTCGTTCTTATTTTAGTCCAAGTCTATCACAAATTAATTACACACGTAAAATATATATGTGTGCAAAATCAATATTACCAAACCAACGTTTAATGTTTTGGCGCTGACCCGTACAAAGGTTTGGTGATTTTAATTCCATTTTCTCTTTTTGTCTATAAAATAATTTTTGAGCCAATTGACAAACATGTCAAATCATTAGAAATCTATATCTTTTTTTTCATGCAAACTATATCTTTTTATAAATTTTTGACAAAAATACCTTTATTTTATTGTATAATTTCAATATTGTCATTTAGCGTCCCGAAAAATATGCAGCATAAAAAACATATTTTTTTAGAAACTCTGTTGTCCGAGAGAACTGTTTTTTCATCCGAAAAATTGTTTTTCGTCCGCAAGAGTCTGTTTTTTGTCCGCGAGAATTATTTTTTATCTAGGAGAGCTGTTTTTCGTCCGAGAGAGTCTGTTTTTTTGTCCGGAAAAACTGTTTTTTATCCGGGATATCTGTTTTTCGTCCGGGAGAATCTGTTTTTTGTCCGTAAAAGCTGTTTTTCGTTTGGGAGAATCTATTTTGTCCGGGAAAGTTGTTTTTCGTTCGAGATAACTGTTTTTCGTTCCAAAAAAAATCTAATTTTCATGGGACACATTTTTTGGGGGTACTAAATGGCAATATTGAAATTAGATAATAAAGTAAAGATATTTTTGTCAAAAATTTATATAAAAGTATAGTTTACAAAGAAAGAAAAAAGGTATAGATTTCAAATGACATGACATATTTGGCAAACTCGCGCAAATTTTCTCATAATTGTTTTTTAAAAAAAAATCAAGATTTTATTTGATAATATCTCAAGGTTTAATGATAGGACGTATATTTGATCAAATGAGCTCGGTGTTTTCAGTAACTGTTTTGCACAATTAATTTTAGCAAGAAGATTTTTTTATGGATATCTTTTTTTTTTCTTTTATGTGAAAATAAGCAAAGTGCAGCCTATAATTGTTTTATATATATATATATCCGTCCATGCAGATCCATTCATGTACGTTTTACACTTTCAACAAAATTCCACTATTCGTTTCTTCGTTTCATCATTTTCATAACATTTCTAATAAAAGAAGAAAAAATAGGAAAAATAACAAGTATACAGAATCTTATATCTTATCGAACTATACAGTGAGTACAAGTAGAAGACTCCATGCATATACACATCTTATATATATATAGATATATAAATTCTGATCACAAAATTACAATGATTGCGTGGTTGGGACAATACTTATCAGTCTCTTTCTCTTATCACACATCGTTTTAGTTGCAAACACAATAATACAGCAAAATCAAACAAAAGTAAATGATATGTATGTGTCTATATTTGTCATACTACCGACTTGTCTTTATATGCACAATATAAAGAAATGGCTATCACAAGCCTCACTTTTATGTCCTTATTCGTGGACATTCATGTTCCACATTCATGTTCCATCATTTTTTTTATCGATGGGAACTTAACCACAGTCGGACGCGTTAACAAATCATCTGACTCCACGCAAAAACTTGTAAACCACGTGGAATAGGTAAACCATCCAAATAACGACAAATTCAAAGGTGAGCGGAATCGAACCCATCACTTCTTGGAGAATCATGGACTACTCAACAATTCACCTGGCCCATTTGGGTTTCATGTTCCATCATTGGTTCTATGATATATATATGATATAACACTTGGAAAGAGACAATACCCAACTCTCATTCATTTCTCTGACCTAATTATGTTTCAAGTGGTCGATTTTTAATATATTTTTCAACACCATTTCATATTTTTCTGTCAGATATACAAAATACTTAGGTTTAGGGTGAATGTTTCGGTATTCGGTTCGAGAATTATTTGGTTTGGTTTTTTCAATTCTATAAAATATATACCAATCGGGTACTATATAATATTCAGTTTGATTTCGGTTTTTATTCAGAAAAAAATTCTTAAAAAAATCATTTTTTAAAATCTTTTAAAATTCGATTTGGGTGATATATCTAAAATTAGACACCTGCATATGCAATGATTATTGTCAAATATATCTTATGATTAGAGTCTCACGTGATACTATTTTACAAATTCGAATTTCGAATTATGAGAGATGAATGGCATTTAAAATATAGTGTTGAGCTGGGAATATGGAAGATAAAAAAACAAACAGTAATAATTATAATACAATTGTTATTATATATATATATATATATATATATATATATATATATTCTTGGTAGTTGGTATAATATGAATGGTTCCTATTTTCACCCACTTAGAATAGGTCCACCAGTCATTCATGATGAAGGGGTAGGCTGATGAAGGCTTTTACCATGCATGCATGTGCATTGATCCATCAAAATCACCATGTACATACATATACATACCCACCTGTGGTGTGTACGTATATGTTTTATGTGTGAGGGAAAAATATGGACGTAGATATGACTATTGGACCGTGTAAATGTCAACTTGAAATGGATAGTTCTCGAGAACTGAGTGCTTCGTTTTACCTCCAACACTCTTTTCCCACTCAGTGGGTGATGCTGATCGTAATTTTTAAAAATTGTTGTTGCCACGTGTCAATCGTCAATGGTTTCGCTGATGTAATTTCTTATTTTATTAGAAAATCTTGAATATACATATATATATATATATATAAATAATGCATCGTTTCAAAGTTTTCCAGAATCTAATTCATCACTATAGCGATAAAAAATTTAAAATAAATTATTTTTAAAAAGTATATGATTTAATTCGTTGAATAAACCGAACCTGATTTTTTTTAGTTACAATTTTAGTTAACCGAATCAAATCGAATCATAATCGTACCGAACCGATTAAAACCAAATAATCGTTTTGTTTATTAATTTTTAAAACACGAAATAACCGAATTCGAATCAATCGCGGAATAAATCGAACCGAACCGTTCATGTTTTAGTTTTGAGATCGTGACGATCCGGCTCCTACTAAACCGAGTCGACTGGTTTTATTAGAGATCTACCGGACCAAATTTCATGAAAGAAAGAAACAAAATTAAATTGAGAAGCCCATAACGGTTTTAAATAGTCCGTTAAACCCAACCTTGTGACCAGTATAGTACGTGGCCCATTTGGTATTTAGATATTATTACTCTTGCAATGCCCATAAAATATCACAACTGTGTGTGTACATGTGTGTGTGTGTAAATATATATATATTATTCTGATGGTGTATTGTTAGTTATGAATTGATTGAAATTAATGATAGTATTTAAACATTATTCTTTTTACTTTGGTTTTATTGCATGAGACTAATATACACATTGGGGGTGTTGATCTTGGCCACGGATCTGTTTATAGGCTTTAATATTCGGATTAATCAATGATTATATATAATTTAATTACAAAGACCCCACACCACGTGGCAGAAACCCATCTGTCCAGATGACCCCCTCGGTCACACGTCCACTCCTTTTGCTCATCATAATCCTATTTCTCTTCCATTCTCTCTCTCTTTGCCTTGATCGATCCTTACGTAGATCTTAAGACGAAGTTTCCAGACTGAAGAATTGTTGAGTTCCCCCGGTGGGTTCAGAAAGAAAGTTCCAGATTTTTGTCGGAGAGTATGGGAACGAAGAGTTTCTCCACGATAAGGAGAGACCAAGGGACTGTCCAAGCTCTTATCGGCTCCGATCTGAACGAGCTCGGCTTCGCTGCCAAGAAACTGGTTAATCACTCGATTATGCTTGTTGGGTCAGGACTCGGAACTGAAGTTCTCGAATGGGTCGCTTCCTTCGCCGCCATGTTCGTCTCTCTCTCTCTCTCTCTCTCTCTCTCTCTCCCTCTGCGTTTTCCCCAAATTGGTCTCGCTGGTATTAGGTCAATGGATCGAAACAAGTGAAATGTCTCGCTGAATTTGTATTCATTATCGTATATCTGCTGTGCGGTCACTGTTATGTCGGTGGTGTTTCATGATTTGATTCTTCAAGTGCGATCGATGTTCCTGACATTGATGAACTGATATAAATTGCAGATACTTGTTGGTATTGGATCGAACCAACTGGAAGACAAATATTCTTACAGCGCTTCTGATCCCTTACATCTTCTTTAGCCTTCCATCAGTTATTTTCAGCCTGTTCAGGTAAAACCAATAGCACTGATCCAATTCTTCTGAGATTCCTCCGGTTTGGTTTTCAGCTTTGTAATGACCGTCCTTGCAGAGGAGATGTCGGAAAGTGGATTGCGCTGGTCGCTGTCGTCTTGCGCCTTTTCTTCCCGAGACATTTCCCGGGTTCGTCCATTCCATCCTTGTTAACCTCTAAAGAATGCCTGCAATACTTTTCGCCCACACGTTCAATCCATTAACCGACTTGTTTTTTGGTTCAATGGTCATGCAGATTGGCTGGAGTTGCCGGGAGCACTGATCCTGCTGATAGTGGTGGCTCCGGGACTATTCGCCCACACGTTCAGAGGCAACTGGGTGGGATTGGCGGTATGCCTTGTCATCGGATGCTACTTGCTTCAAGAACACATTAGGGCTTCAGGCGGATTCCGGAACGCCTTCACGAAAGCAAAGGGCATCTCCAACACCATCGGGATCGTTCTTCTGTTCGTTTTTCCGGTTTGGGCCCTCATCGATTGAAGTCCGTCCTTCTGTGCCATCAAGATTGTGAAGTTGTATCCTTCTGTGTAATCAAGATTGTGGTTGATTGTGTGTGCTTGCAACCAATAAGTAAAGGTTAAGAGTGGGTTTCAGACAGTGGATTGCCAACTGCTTGTAATACGTTTCTGTCCTAATCTATTTGTTTTGTTAGTAATTTGCTCGGTTGAACACCTGATCCTGCAGGAGTTATCCGCCAGACCAGTGAATATCCAGATTTGATCAGAAGCAGATTTTGTATTCATCAAGGCGATGACCCGATAATAATAGTAAGCAAAAACATGAGAATCTACTAACCATTTTGGGACTGAATTGGATACCGAATTCACCACCTCAAGCTCCCAAAACGACTGCTTCTCTGCTCAATGAGACCAGAAGAAGACACCCTTTTCGTTGCTTTCCGCAAATCGTATTTTCCAATCGAGGCATTGTTTCCGCCATTCGTATCGACAAACCACTGTTTCTCTATTTGTCTCGTCTTGCTTTCTCGAGCTCGAGATTTCGCATCTTACACCTTTGCTTGGAGCAATTGCCACCACGAAAAGCTCTCAGATGACAGTTTCATCTCCAAATTCAATCTCCATGAGAGAGCCAGAGCAGATACCAAACACTTCCACGGATGTTAGCTCAAACCCTCTTCTTCTTCTTCTTCTCTTCCCTCGAGATATTCGGCCATTTCTTTCCTCAACAATGCAGCCATTTCCACATCCCCTGCTTTTACGTACCCGTGGATAAATGCCTCATATGTCTCTCGATTCGGTCCGAATCCTCTCCCCACCATCTCAGCCTGAGTGCTCAATGCTTTCTCCATCTTCCCCTCTCTGCAAAGACCTTTTATCCATAACATATAACACTTCTGATTTGGACAAAACCCGAAATCTCTCCCCGCAGCCTTCATCATCTCTGAGGCTTCTTCGACTCTTTGCTTCTCGCAAAGCCCTTCGACTAAGGCTTCAATGGTTGAACCCTCTGGCCAGAAACTCTTCCTCCGCATATCTCTGTATACAAGCATAGCTGAATCCATATCCTTGACTTTACAATACCCTCTAACGAGATGCTCATAAGTCATGGAAGTACTCTCTATCCCTTTCGATCCCATTTCTCGAACAAGCTCCTCGGCCCTAGCAGTCTCTCCGCTCCTGCAAAGCCCGCCGATCAGAGTGTTATAAGCCACGATATCATAATTCAATCCCTTTATCCTCATTTCTTCCCACATCTTCTCGGCTTCAGACACCATACCTCGTCTGCAATACATCTCCATAAGAACACTGTAACTGTAAGAATTCGGACAACATCCCACCTCCTCCATTTCTCTCCATATCTCTTCCACCATCTCCATTTCACCTTCTCTGTAAAAACTCACCATCATGGAATTGAAAGTATGCGCATTTGGCTTAACCCTGGCAACCCACTTCACAGCTTCCTCGAGTCCATCATCTAACCCAAAAACCTCTCTATAGAGCTTACAACCATCGTAAGCCCCTCTACGTCTACAAACTTCTGCAACCAAAGCGTTGCAAGTACTGATCTGAGGACTGATACCTTTGGACCGCAATTTTCTCATCACCATAACAGCTCCATCGATCAACTTCGAATCAAGACACGATTTTATCAGCAGATCAAACACAAACGGCGCAGACCCACATCGGTTATACGTCTGAATCAGCGAGCGCAGCACCATCGAAACACATTCTACTTCGGTGCCACCGGCAGTAGAAACACTAACAGTACCTTCACCGGCGAGTCGAACAGCGAGGCGAGTTAGCTCACACGCGTGGCGGCGGAGGCGTGAGCGGGCGAGGATGTGGACAAGGACGGTGCAGGAGTGGAGGTCGTGGGGACAGAGCGAGTGGCGGCGCGTGAAGAGAAAGAAACGGAGGGCAAGATGGGGATTGTTGCGGATGCGGATAGCAATTTCGGAGAACTGCTCCGCCGTGAAGCCGGAAAGGAAGAGAGAACGGAGAGTCGACCACCGGGACTTGGATCGGTGGTGGGTGAGGATCGAAACGGCGTCTGATACCAGAGTATCGACGGCGGGAACCCCGGAGCGATCGGACGGAGGAGACACAACGGTGTTGAGGAAGAGAAGAGAGACAGCGGATTCGGGTCCGGGTTTTCGGGTCAAGGTCGGGTCGAGTATCCGCCTGAGAATTGGGACCGACATTGAATTGAAAGAGTGAGGAATCAGACGAAGGGTCAGAACCAGATTTGCAGTTTAGTTTAGAGGGCATCCGGATATTAGCCGTGGCTAATGATATTCTTTAATCATATTGGATTTGCCATCTATGACTAATTAATCAAAATTAATCAAAATCATATGTATGTATGTATGTATGTATGTATGTATGTATGTATGTATGTATGTATGTATGTATGTATGTATGTATGTATAGGTTAGGGTTTTCTATTTTCACGTTTTCCGATTCCTTTCTCGGACGCAACAACTTGGAACAGCGTTTCACAAGAGCCTCGACGATAACGTTGAAGAATTGTTTTAGTCCGGTTATTTGAGTTGGTTTAGAGTTTTGGTTATTTGGTCCGGTTTAAGTTTGTTCCACTAGTTTAAATCAAACATAGCCATTCAGCAATTAAAATTCTCAAATACGAATTGATGCCTCAAGAAATTTTATCGGCAGGCCTCGTCAGCGTGGCCAAACTCTAAAAAGTTAAAGAACAAATATGCTAATACACACACATATATATATATATATATATGTGAATTTGTGTATTCCCTAATAATGGAATATATATATATATATATATATATATATATATATATAGATGTAATGGAATGTGTTCTTACATGGAGTAATAGTCAATTTGTGTGGCAAGAATTTCTTCCGAGATGGGCCTATATGCTCTCCCATAACTATTCTCATATATCCACACACGCAAATCGTAATGGATTTCAGGATTTCCGAAGGTTCTATTCATATCCCATTTTCATAAAAAAAATATTTATTTTATAAAAATATTTTCTTCCAAAATTTTCAATTCTTATCATGTTTGATTTATACCCATTTAATGTAATTTAATCATTTTGATTTAAAGAAAATTATAACTAATTGGTTTTTAGAATAAAATCAATCCGAACACATTTTTACTCTATCGAAATGGCCACGTCAGCTAGAATTTTTTTTTTCTTTCAAAATTTATATAAAGAATATTGAGATAAATCACATTAATTGACTCTTTTCAAACATTGCTTTTTTCTCTCTAATATTCCAAATTCTTATTCCCCCACTACGGAATTTCTTACATTTGCAGCAACTGAATGATTCTGTTTTTCAATAAATATATAGCAATTCATACACATTCTCTTATATATATATATATGTATATATATATATCCCTATAAATACGTTTTTCCTCAAACACCCAACTGAGTTTAGACACAAACCCACCAGGAGAAAAAAAAAAAAGAGTCAAGAAAATGATGAAATATGGAGAGATATCGCATTTTAGTCACCCAAACCACAAACTCAAGTTCGACTTCACTGATATCCCATTCAAATGCGACGGATGCAAGGAGATCGGCGTCGGCTCCCGGTACCACTGCCCGTGCGATTTCGATCTCCACGCTCACTGTGCCTTGCCCTTCTCCTCGGCCGCCCCCTTAACGCACCCGTTCTACAAGAAATGCTCGTTCGAGTTCTTGTCTCGGCCGCCGGGAAAGAGCCCTAGGTATTGCAATGCGTGTGAAAAGGACGTCGCGGGGTTCGTGTACCATTGCAGGGAATGTGGGTTCGATCTCCATCCGTGCTGCGCAATGCTTCCTATGGCGCTGGATGATGGAGAGCTCAAGCTTTACTTGTACCGTAAAGTGAGTTCCCCCTGTTTGAGGTGTGGGAGAAAAGGCCGAAGTTGGAGTTATAGGTATGTTTTTTTTTTTTTTGTATCAATCGGTGCAGATTTTGAATTTATTTTGAATTTTTGTTATGTTTATACATCATATATTGTTTTGATTTTTTGTTAGAATTTATTGTCGACTAAGTTGTCTCAATTGGACAATTACTGATTGTTCGGAAGAATAGTTTCTTTTTTTTTTTTGTATTGACTGGAATTTTACCTTACGTGTTTGAAGAATTTAAAAAATTATCCATTCCTGTAAAAATCACTTTAATTGAGAATATTTCGAATTTAAATTTAAGTTTGCGGACGAATATAATAAAAGAAAAAAAAGGGAATGGAATCTATTATTATTATTATTATCGCACAAAATTTTTTTTTGGTCGAGACAAAAAAAAAAAGGTGTAATTTTAGATATGCAAGTTACATAACGTGCACTCTTGAGTTAGAATATAAATTTCTTTTAAGAATTTTAAAATACAAAGACCGTATGAATATATATATATATGAACTGAATTTTCCGTGGTTTTGTATTATATATAATTAACAGGTCATCGTGCAAGAAATACAATATACACGTGGCGTGCGTACGGGAGATGCTGGTGGAGAACTGGAGAGAGCTGTACAATGGGCAAAACGGTAAAAGCGCAGGAGGTCGGATACCTAGCTTGAAGAATACGCACCAGCACCGCCACCGAAGCAAAGGAAAGGTGCACAAGTGCTGCGAGATCGCCGGAATCGCCGTACAGTTCGTCATCTCCGCCGTGCTCGGTGACCCCACCGCCATAATCGCCGGCGTCATCGGATCCCTCATCTCCAGAGCCTGACACACATCTTCCGGGGGTAATTTCGTCCTTTTCGCTTTGCGTTCAGCACTTGGCGTACGCATATATGTGTGTGTGTATTGGCGTACGTGTGTACATATGTGCGGGCCTCTTGTGAATGAATAAAACAGCACATTAGGACATTACACTATTAGATAAAACGTATGGTTACTATTATAATATTGTATAAAATTTAATCTACAGTAAAAAAATTAATTAAATTGATGGAAATTTTAATTATATGTGAATTTGGAAAATTATAGTTATTTTATATATTAACCTTTTGGATTGAATAGCCCAAGTTCAAGCAGGCAGGTGCAATGGATTGACAAACCGATATCCCCCCTTAGGTGACAGAATCTTTGACTTCCCCCTGTCTCCGTACAGAATCTGCATGCTGAGCTGGCACACATTACAACCATCTACGGGCTAATAATAAGATTCGACCTCCCACAAGGCATCACTCGAGTTCTTTTTCAGAAGAACAGGACGAGCCAAAGCCGCAGCAGCCAGAACCAGCAGGATGGATCGGACTGGTCATACACGCGAAACATTCAGATGCTGCTATGGATCACCCGTGAAGTCACATGGCACTGGTCTGGCCTGTCGGATGGGACATAGATCTAAGATCCACCGACGGCGAGGAGACGAGATCATACCTTACTCAGATAACCTGAACGACGTTCAGATAAACCGAAAACCAGTTTATGTTTTACTGATAGGAAAAACTGCTCCTTATATAGGAGTTACAGTTGAAAAGAAACTAGGAAATCTTATCTCTATGTTCCCTAAATCAGGATAAATGGAAAATACCCAAGAATTCGTTATTAAGGAGCAGGATGTAGATATAGATCAACCAATTCTCGGGTATAGGCTGTTGCGCGATCCCCAAGAACTGGGGGAAGAGCTATCACTCGTACCACAATCCGATGGTTGGTACGAGGAGTCCCCGGAAGTGTAAAAGTCGGATGCGCGCTCGATGCCTTTCGATTTGTAAGGAGCGATGTTGTGGACGCCAACTTGGAGAGAGCCCAGTAACTCGTTCTCGATGCATTCGTACCTGCAAAGAGATGCGGATGTTGCATCAGTTTCAGAAGACGCAGTTCCAACCAACCTGACCGTGAGACTTACATTTTCTTGCAGAGGGTATCCACCGTCACAGACAAGTTGATGACTTTAATCCGTATGTCCAAGACTTTGTCTTCGGTGTATTGTTCAAAGGGTTCTTCCAACAACTTGGAAAGCTTCTCAACACTGCCCTCAAGCTGTTGCTGTTGATCCTCAAAGAGATGCTGCTTTATTTCTCGCTCCCGAGGCATCATCTCATTTTTGAACTGCGCATTTTTGAACATGTAAAATGCAAAAGGGTACAAACATGAAAGAACTCTCCTTGATCTTAATAAACGGTCGAGTCCATTGGTAACCCAGCTGAAGTCCCTCTCTTCTGAAATCGAAACTTTTTTTAGGATAGTCTCCTTAAGTTCACTCTCTCGCTTGAAGGAATCGGTGTGCACCCTATATCCGTTATGATAAGGCATATAACAATAAAGGTTCCTTTTCGTTCTCTCCGTCTGTTTCTCTCTGGCCTCTTGGTCCTGACTGCAACTATGACCCGCGATTGTATACCAAGAATGTTCCCTTCCAGTAGATCCACCACATAGCCAACTGTAGACAAGAACAAGCAAAACAATCAACTAGATATGAGAGCCATCAATACCTGGCATATGTTCAGTGTCGCATAAAAAAAAGACGGAACGAAAACGATTAAAAAAAAAAAAAGAAAAACGGGGAGGAAAACAAAAGGATAGAGTTCTCACCAGAACGATTGCCCACATCTACATGTCACAAGAACGCATCCGCCATTCTTTTCCAGAGGTAAGTGGCATTTGGGACACGGCTTTGTGTTAACTGCAATCCAATTAACTGTCTCAGACTCCTCCCTGATCTTCTTTCTCCATTGTTCCCACATCAAACAAGAGCAAGGGGAGTGGGCTTCAGACAAGCAACTGAAACAGAACTGACAGCCGCAAGAACATTCAACCTCGCACAACCCATCATCCTCGACACGTATAGCATTGCCACAATGCGGAGTGCTTGGACACCACTTGACCATCCTGTTATCTTCAATGTATGACTCCAGAAGAAAACGATCAAACTTCTCAGCAAGATCTGGACGGCTTTTACCAACTAGACTCCTCACAACATCTTCATCGCAAATAGCATTGCATTTAGGAGCCATGCATCTGATCCTTTTGCTCTGACCTTCCTTTATCTTCACAATAAAATGCTCTGTCCAACCTAGTAAGGGAGAATAATCAAAACAATTGCTTAGAATAACCGCAGGAAAACAAACATACGTTTTCGTCATAAAATGGTCTGTTCAACACCAAAACAAAAAGCTTTGTCCTTGCAATAAAACCGCCAGCTCAGAGGGTGATCAACAAAAGAATAAGCCTAAAACATTCTAGTAAGATTATATGGAGTTACACGAAACAATGGGTTGGCGAAAAAAAATTGAAATAAGGAACTCACAGTTCTTGCAAAAGCAGTGGCCACAGTCCATTCTTGTCATTTGATCACCGGGTAAATGATCCTCTACGCAGATATCACAAGTCATTGTTGTAGAAGGAGACAAAACTGAATTGCCCTGTTGATGCTCGGCAATAGAGACACCGGCTGCAGCAAACAAGCTATCCTCCCCTTTCTCGACAAAAACAGCAAACAACTTCTCCACATCCCACCGGTAATGAATAAGAAGTGTACGAGCATGGTGCTCCTTAACCAATAATAAATCCATCACCCTTTGCAGATCCTCCCTCTGCATTGGCACCGAACAAATAAACGAACATAGCTCTAAAGTTTACCCGAAAGAAGGGGGAAAAAAGGACCACATTACCAAACAGCAACTGAATAAGAATCATGTTTTGCCCTTTTACCTGAGCCAACTGAAGCAATTCCTTAGTAATAACCTACAAAATGCAGACTAATGATCAGTAAAATCCAACTATATGATTAGCACATAAAACGCAAAATTGG